CACACCCGCACACCCGCACACCCGCACACACGCACACACGCACGCACGCACACACGCACACACGCACGCACGCACCCACGCACCCACGCACGCACGCACGCACCCACGCACGCACGCACGCACGCACGCACGCACGCACGCACGCACGCACGCACGCACGCACGCACGCACGCACGCACGCACGCACGCACGCACGCACGCACGCACGCACGCACGCACGCACACACACACACACACACACACACACACACTTCTTTCAATGCGAAGCAAAGCACAGCAACGCAATGCAAAGCAATGCGACTCAATGAAAGCAATGCAAAGCAACGCAGAACCGCCACGAGGCGGCGACGTGGTGGCGACGGCGACAAAATAGCCGCCAGACCGACAATCAGGCCCAGACGACGGGCGGCGACGAGGCGGCGACGGGGCGGCGACGGGGACCACGGAGTCGCCGGACCGTCAATCCCCCCAGTTCCTTAGAACACAAAGTGGGAACCCCTAAGTGCAAGCATAGTTTGGGAAATTTCTTCCCACGCGCACGAATCTTCGCGATGGTCGGTCACTTCTTCACGGTCATCTTGGCATTTGGGGGATCTCTTGGACCATGTTCGTGGCTCAATGAACCAATTTCGGCCGTCTCAGGGCAATCTCCCGTCTCACGTGGGGTATTTCCTGCTTGTCTTGCGCCCGCCTCTCGGCCGTCGTAGCCCTTCTGGTGAACGCGAAGCGATTTGAATAAGCTACATTATGGAACGTGTTTGTCTCTGGTCTTGCTTCTAGAGCGATCCTTGAGCCAATACGACCACAACGTCATCGTGAGTTCATCACGCACTACTCCTGCAGCAAAAACCTGGCACCCGTACCACGTGTTGGAAGCCCGTCGCATACGTGACGCTGATGACGACCTATTTGTCATTGCAGCTGCTTGAAAGCGAGGCCAACAAACAGTTGCTAGGTGATCGCTTCCTTCCTTCCTCCTCCTCCCCTTTTCCTCCTGCACCTCCGTCCTCTCCCTTCCTCCTCCTCCTCCTCCTCCTCCTTCTCTCCCCCCTCTCCCTAATCGATCCTCTGTCTCCTCCGTGCTCCTTGCACTCCCTCCTCTGCCTCCTCCCTCCCTCCTCTGCTATCCCCCCCCCTCAACTCTACCCTCCTTCCCCCTCCTCTCTTTCTCCCTCCTTCCCTTCCCCCCTTTCTGCCTCCCCCTCTCTCCTCCTTCATCCCTCCAACCCTTGTTCCTGCATCCGCCCTCCGCCCCCTGCAGACCTCTTCGCTTTCAATGGGCCCTTAAGGCTTCACGATGGCCCCAAAATGGCCCAATAGAGTCCCAAGACAGGCCCAAGACGGGCCCAAGAGCGGCCCACAAGGGCCCCAAGAGGCGACTTTTCGGGTTTCGAAGGGGAGCGTAATTGACGCCGCGCTCCTTTTTGAGCCGTGGCCTCCAAGATGGTCGCAAGAGACCTCCCAGAC